ATTGTCGGAATTGCCACCCTTCGCATTCACCTCTGCCCCACTCTCGAGGAGAAGCTGCACAACCGATTCGTTTCCCTGGCTTGCAGCTGCTTGTAGTGCATTGTCGAAACGGCCACCCTTCGCATTCACCTCTGCCCCACGCTCGAGGAGAAGCTGCACAACCGATTCGTTTCCCTGATATGCAGCTGCTTGTAGTGGGTTCCCGTACTTGCTACCCTGAGTATTCACATTTACTGTATCCACTTTTCTATTGGCAAGGAATTTACAGGCCGTCAATAAATTTAACAAGGAGGAATAGTAGATTGCTGGTGGGTAAATCCCGGGGTCGTAGGTACGAAACCTGGGAGGGTCATCAGGGTTATATATATTGAGCCACTCCTTTCCAAGCTCGAGGACCTTCACTGCCGCGTCGACGAGTGGTGTGGGTGCTGTATCCTCAATAGATCTGATATACACGAACCAATAGCGAGCACTGTGGTAGAGAAACGACTTTTTTTCGACTTTGTTGCCACTAATGGTACCTTGTGCACTGTGTCGCAGTATTCGACTGAGACAAGCGTGCCCCATCAGTAAATTGGCTTTCTCCTCCGAAATATGATAGTAGGCACTGGGGCCCTGCGCAGCCCGTTCGGAGATCAAATATTCTTTTACCGAGAAATGAGCTAGTCGTAATCGGCGGTTTTCCTGGCTGGATGACTCATCGTACCTGGCGTCTTCGAATGAAATAAGGCTTGGGCAAATGCTTATGAGGGACTTCATATTGAAAAGAGGTTCCGTATCCTCGCCATATTTGTTGACATCGGATGCGATCACAATGGCCTCCGCAAGCTGGCCTAATGTCAATGGTTCTGCTGAAAATGCAAGCCAATGCATCGCTCGCCGAATGTATTCCCTCTGCGTCTTGTGAATACTATTGAGGATCCTCAAGTAGACAGAATCCAAGTCTTCCGGCAGTTCCCGCAACGCAGCTCTTACAGCTGCTGGTGTTATGCATTCCTGTAGAATCCGCAAAAGACAATCCACCCATCGGAACCTTCAGATATTCAACCTTGTGTCAGCGTAAGTTAAAGATCTAGAGGTTGAGTATAGCATACATTCCCTGCGAGCGAGAAACGAGTGTGTCCTCTATCTCACTCTTAATTTCTTTGGTAAAATCCTTGAGACCATCCTTATCGCCTAGGGAGTTCTGTATATATGACCGGATATCCGGATCGATAATGGTGGATTGTAACGATATTGAAAAAGTGGTAAGTGGTCCTAGGGATTTCTCTATATCGGCTTCGGGACGACTGGTGATGAGAATGGAAAGCGATCCTGCGTCGTGACCAGCGGTAAGTTCGCGGATCCAGGATAGGAGACTCTCCCGTGTTTCCTTGGGAAATTCATCTAAGGCGTCAAGGATGATAAATGTCTTTTTGGAAAGCTTTACCATCTGCAAAAATGCAGATTTCAGCGCCTTGATATCTGTTGACTTTCCAATTGCCTTGGAATTGTGGTATAGATTTATGACCTCATCGGGGAATCCACGGCCCGAAATTCCTTCCAGTAGTTGGCCAACGATTGACAGAAGCATGTTGAGAAAATTTTGCTTCTCCGAGTCGGTGAAGGTAAAGTAGTAGTAGGCCAGTGCATGGTCGTCTTTCGTGGTGCACAGATTTTTGACATCTTCAATGGCGGTAGCGCTGGAGGGGGGGTTAGCAATCTGAAAATAATCCGCCTCTGGATACCTTGCTGAGTTCGCACCTTAGGACACTTTTACCGCACCCAGCTACAAGATGCAAATATTAGTCACATTCTGCGAACATAAGATTTCACTTGTCTGTACACTTACGTATTCCATAGAGCCAGAGAACTCCCCCTTGACCACCCTTCCAATCTCTGTACTCGGGTCCCTTGAGAAGCCAATTACCCGTTCCGGGTTCACGGAGAGCGAGCGCGTATGAAAAATTGGAGGCGGGATCAACGACGTTAAGCCATTTCAGTACCTCCCGGAATTCTTTGTCTAGAGTATCCGAAATATCCGATATTAGTAGAGAAGATAATTAAGCAGATGAGGGATAATGCGGCCAAGTACCATCTAGCTTTCGTAATACTTTAGTTACCGTCTTCCTATGCAACTAATTAGCCCTACGGCGAAAACGAAAACAAAAACGGGAAGTGGAGAGGTTGGATTCTCAGGGCTCTAAAGGATGGATAACCTACGTTGCGGCCGTGGTTAATAAAAGATGAAGCTTCGATCTCTGCTCCTCGACTAAGCCTAGGTAATGCTCCATTTTGGGTTTACGAATGGGCCAAACATATTTTCTCACTGACTTCTTCCATCCCGGAACGTCTAGCTTTTTCTGCAGCTCCTCCAGGGCGGTCATGTAATCCTTTAAGCTTTCGTTTTTTACCCATTCGAGAAGGCTAGGGTATTGTGGGTTGTTTTCATCGTCTCCGGCGGCAAGGCTTCGGATTTCCTCGAGCTGTTGATGGATACTCTTGATCTCGTCGCCTAGTTTCTTGATATCTTGTGGGCTCCCCTTCACTGTATTGTAGTAGTTATGGCAAAGTTCGAAAACCTTCGCGCTGAGGTGAATGAGAGCTATGCCGCTGGCGGCGATGGAGAAGGGTTCTGCCATTTCTGATTCTCAGGAATGCTGTGGGCTAAACTGAGGGGAAACTCAAAAAGTGCAGCTATGATAACTCGCTGTTTATTTGATGTGAAAGAAAAAAAAAGCTGGTGTTTACTCTTGAGCTGGGTAGGCCTTCAAGCTTTAGATTCGTTTGAGTTATGCTTTCCGACTGCGGATTTAGGGATGTAGTGGAAAACAGCAACTAGTCTAGTCGGGGGGGGGGTTTCTTTGGAGGGCAATGGTTTTTAAGTCCTCCGTGAGCGGGGGCGCTAAAATGCCAGCGCTTACCCACAGGAACGGCAGCTGCATGTCCGGTCGCTGTCGGCAAATCTGCTAGCCAACCATTACTTGAGTACAGTACTTGTGCGTCTGAGCCAAGAATGGGCGCCTCTTTAGGAAATAGCTCCCGGAGACCCATAAAAAATACCGTAGTGGCTGCGCTGTTTAAACTACTCAGACAATAGGGCGAAATGCTGGCACCTGTTGAGAATGATATCATATGTGAGACCATATTCTCAATACTCAAGAAGATTTTAGATCATTGAATTGGACGAATGGATAAAGATCGTGAAGGTAAGTATGTGCCTGTGATTAATTTAAACTTCAAGGCTAACGCTCAGAATAGCGCACCGAAGGGAAAAGGTCTTACGAGCACTACGAAAGGAGCAATTATTGCGCTTCATAAATGTATCGGACTTAGTATAATAGTGGAAATTTTTGTATGAGGGTTCTTGATGGATATTGTATGTTCACACGGTCTACTTGGTACTCGAGTAGTGTACTCGTACAGTACTACTCCTCGAGTTGGCTAGTCCCATGCTAATACTTTTAGTAATGGTCGAGTCTCTTTCTCCATGGGTTTTGCAGTAATTTATGTGCTATTCGGGTAGTTCCAATCTTCTTGCCGCAGCTGGAAGATTATTTCACTGGTCACCGGCGAGAGCCGCAGCTGATTCGTTTGCCGCGACAAGTCTTCCTACGCATGCCCTTCCCTAGCTCCACCTTGAAAAATTCCTCTCTTTCAATAGAGAAGCTTCTATGACTAAATTTACTCTCGCGGGGTTCGGACTTCGTAATCCGAGCGATAAAGGATGAGGCCACGGAGGGTGATGAGTGGGATATGACTGGGGTATGGGGGAGAAGCATTATGAACGGTTCAAACAAGATGCACGATATTGATGAAGGCCTTAACCGGCCTGAAGGGGGCCCCTGGGATGATGATCTCCCGCCAGAAGAAGTTTTAGGGCCCCCTATAAGGGTTCACAAACTCATTCTGCTTTCGAGATGGCCGCACTTTGCTACCTTATACAGCGCTCGGATGGTTGGGTTTCATAAGACTAGGATGTACTTACCGGAACCATACACCGTCGTCCGCGTGTTTTTTTTTTGTATTACTTATATACCGACTCTGTCGCGACATCACCCTACTGCCCTAACCTTTCAACCGTGGCTGGTCTGCTCGTGATGGCCAACTTGTACGACTTGAAGAGACTACGAGCGCTTGCTCTAAACAGACTATTCTCGGAGCTCGACGTCGAGTCCGCCGCTGTAATCTGGGAGCGTTCTGGCGTTGCTGGTGAGGAAGGCTGGCGAAAGAAAGCTGCCGGCTTTGTCTTGACGTACTGGGGTCGCATAGTCCGAACAATGGGGTTTAGACGCCTGAGCAGACGAAGCTTGATGGAGCTCTGCGAGGAAGTCGATGTGGAAGGGCGCATCATGGGTAGTGAGGAATTGGGTGTTGTGGGAGCTGTCGATGGCGGCATTGTCGGGGTATACCAAGGTGATCTTGGGGGGTTTATGACTGAAGAGGCGCGGATGAGGGCGAAGAGGAGGCGGTACGTTGATGATGCAGAAGAGTTGGAGACTGGAGAGGCGGAGGAGGATGAAGAGATGAGTTGATGGGATATGACTTGGATTGGATTGAATTGATAGATGTATTTTGGTGTTGGTTAGCTTTTATTGTCACTTTTTTCATTTTTTCTTTTCGGGGGACTGGAATACAGATTGTGTTTTGAGGCTCTATTTTTTTTTATTCTTTTGCTTGATTGCTTGGAGCGGTGGGGTTTAAATGTATATGGCGATTCGGACGGGATCTTTTCATTTTTTACTTTTTTATCTCATTTTTGCCCTCTTTGTCGCTTCTTCCCTCTCCCTCTTATTGCATCTTATTCTCAGTATTATTCCATGCGGAAGTCTAAGAGGGGTACTATCGAGTGAGTGAGTGAGATTGAACGAAGGAATGTATTTGCTAGGCCACACGATGATAGTGGGTGATAATTTATGGTATCATGGATCATCACTCGTCATATTTTCGGGGGGGTGCCGGGAGTATTGGTTTGATGCGACCGAAGTGTGTTTAGCTCGGAGCATCTGGACTCATCTCTCTGTAGATAGGCAGTCTTTTGTGGGCATTAGTATGGCTGTCTCTGACGCATGTAGTTATAGGATAATAAGCAATTTAGCGCTCTCTAGTCCCGATCCATAACTCCTAGTCTCCTCCTAAATCTCGGTATTTACTTTCAATCTCTCACCTTACACACTCAACCTTCGTGACGCCACACGTGGAGGTAGTATCAATGCCTTTAACACGATTATCATGATATGCTATGGATAGCAGTGTACTCTGATACGCAAATATCACGGTTTCAAGCTGCCCGAAGAGCTTTGCCCGTACCATGTATGTATTGGTATGGTAGTCAGTGACCCCATCCGAATTCAGCTTACCACGTCATGAATATTCCAGCCCTGGTCGGATAGGTAGGGGTGGGTGGGTCTAGGAATTCCCGGCTGTGGATCTGGCTTTGGCTGAGTGTAGGAATTTCAAATAAGGAAGGGAAATTTCCCTTTTTTTTTTTGAAGTGTGAATAAAATTTCCGGCACAGGTGGAGGAACCAGTTTTGGTTCCCGAGATTTTCTTCCCTCTGTCGTGAAGTTTGTCGCTGCTATTTCTCACGTTATTTTGGGATCGCTTTACCGAGTTCTATTGTTTTTTTTTTTTCAAGCTGCGGACTGGACAGATTGCTGGGGACTATTCAGTACTGTCGGAGTCTACACTCCCTAGACAATTCTGTGAGGCGAGGGTAGGCTGGCTAGGGCGTGGACAAACTTGCTCTGACTTTTCAGACGAAGTAAATAAATTCTAAAAGTAAAGAAAGAAACCTCAAAGCCGAAGACAAGAGTAAAACAAAGGCCTCTCTCCGGAGGATAGAAAACTGAAGAAAAATCCCGTCTTAAAGAAAAAAAGAAACAACGTCCTTTTTTCTCAGACAAGACTGCTGAAAACTAAGCCGCACTGTCGTCGTCTCTTGTGTGGGTTATCCTCTCCCAATAGGGCCCCCGGCAGTCCAATTCCCCAGTGCCTCCTCCACAAATCAACCGAAACACAGTCCCTTGCCCCCTCTCAAAAGCCCTATATCCTACCAAACCTACTACCATTATCCTTATGCTCAAAAGCCCTAACCACTGCTCAGAAACACTATTGCTAAAACAGCTCGCCACAGTACGCTTGGGATGTGCGGTGCTGTACAGTGCTGTACTGGTATAGAGCAGTTTTGTTGCGAAGTGGTCTGGCAACCGTGCCTCAGCTGGGCCCGAATTGTCTGTGTGGGCGGTGGTACACTGTATGGAGTCATGTTGGGGAATACCCGCGGGTGAATTCCTGGGGATAGGTGCTTGACGAAGTTCATTTGGAGCGTATTTACCGGAGATTGGTCGTGATGGAGGTAATGTAGGTACTGTAGGTAGGTGGAAGGCACAATCCCCCCGGTATCACCTGCTTCCTGTGAGCACTCACTCCGTGGCTGGATAGGCACGGGTAATTTGGATTTAGGTTTGTTTGTTTGTTTGGTTGTTGCGGGGTTCCGAGATTGGAAACAGTATTAATCTGGGATCTCTCCGTTTTGTGCGCACCGGTACTGGGGCGGGGGGGATTTAGCTAATTATGTGCTGGATTGGTACTCTGGGGGTAGATAAACGAAGTTTAGGTTGGTGAACCTCTGCCCGTTGGGCTCACAAACCTCGGGATTTACGGATGGTGTCCGCGGTTCGCGGGATAGGTGGAGGACTAGAGTGAAGATTCAGAGTATCGGGGGGGGATTCGTGTCTGTAGCTAGATGGTTTCATGAGGAGAGAAACTGGAATGAACCAAGAGGGGAGTTTTCGACTACTTGGACTTGGAGTAAGGAGTTTGTTTTAGGTTCATGTAATGAACATTTGAAGAGTCCAGAACGAGTGACATATCCCAAGACTGCTTTTAGTGCAGAAGCTTATGTGCTACTTCTGAGAAACTCCCCAAAGTTACACTATTTCCGTCAGCTTTCGTCCGTTAGAGAATGTACCTTTTTGTGCTCTTCCGTATGCATAATTGCTCTCTTTGTGATGGCAATAACCTCGGGGGAACACGGAACCGAATTTGGGGGGAAGGGGTCTATCGGGCCCGCCGAACCCGGACCTAGCCCAATCCAGGCAAGGACTATCTTCCACCCTGACCGAGGAAGAAGCGAGGTCAACCCAACGAAGCCCCGTCCCTTTGGAAGACCTAGCCGTCATGCATCAAAACTACTTGCCTCGGCATCGATCACTTGGCATTGGTATCGGTTAGAATGCCCTATATCCATACCGTAAGAACTCGAATAATTGAACCTGGAGCTAGGACGTCGGTGTTGCCTCTACTGGTATGGTGCGGTGTTTTTTACTTTTCTTTTATCTCAAGCAGGGGCTCGGGGAGTCGGTTTTCGCAGTGCTCTCAGCCCCCTATCCAGGAGAGGGAATTCTGAACGTTCTAGCGCGAGGTTCAATTATTCGAGTTCTTACGGTATACTACTACAACTTGCTTACTCGAAGCCTGTTTTTCGTGCTGCGTTGGGAACCCCCTGTTCTACAAAAACAGTGAAAAAAATATAGCAGGGCAGAAAGCCATCATGGAGAGTCTCTAGGTGGTTTATAGGTGGTGTTGAATATATGAGAACGATTACACATAAAAGCTCGGAACATTCGCAGGTGTACGCAACTGCTTATGCACCTCTGATAACTGGCATACATGTTTGAACCTTAAGTTTGATTTCTTCCCCTTTGTTTCTTTCTTCCTCCCTCAACAATTCTCACGAAGATTGATCTACACACTTCCTTCGATTACCATTAATTAATTCACATCTCTCCTTTCTCCGTTTTCACTTCCTGCTCTTTCACTCCACTCTCAGCGGATAAGATCAATTCTATTCTCTCCCTTTCCTCACTGTCCGCCTCCGGTTCCGTAAAACCTTAGTAGCAATCATTGACGTTGCCGTTCGATCAACCACAATTTCCAAAAGGTGGGGTCATCGGGAATGAGCTGCTGCTTGTTACTGATATCATATTACTTTCGCCCTAATATTTCCAAAGTTCGTTATCTGATAATGGGTGCAAAACGAATCTCTTTCAATTTGGCATGCTGGTACTCCGGAAATCTCGCTTTGTTTCACTCTTTATTCGCTGCTGGTTCGGCTTCTGGTTAGTCATACTGGGATAAATTAATGATGTGGGATTGGTCCTCGAGCAATCCAATCGATCAACTGAAGCTGTGAGATTTTTCTCTGATGTCTGCAGTGTTCTCTCAAGTCTGCCGTTTATCCTAGCGGCCTGAAGGTCACTTCTGGATTTTTGGCTTCCCGAATCTGGTAGTCGGGGTTCTCCGAACTCTGGTTACACAGGGGGCACTGGTTGAACTCAAATCTGTTATTTCTGTGAATGCGGACCTAGCTGGAAGCCGAAGGTAAAAAAAAAAACGCTCCTACCGTAATGGGTTGGGAAAATCGAGGCCTCCCTACGGAATGCTGGTTGTGGGTGGCGCCCCGTAAGTCTTTACTCGGGAAGATAATCACCTGCTAGTTACTAAGTGTTCAAGTCTATGCTTGATAGCTATTGGTATGATAACTTGTGTGATGCTCATGAAAGAACTCTAGGCCCTCTGCACCAAAATCTGGGGAGCTTGCCCAATACGGGTTAGTCCTATTAATAGGAAGTAATCGTTGTTGGAGAACATATGATGCAGGCCCCATAGTGAATTAGGAGGGCTATTGAATTAATGCCTACATAATATAAAGAAGGAGGTTAGCGGGAAGTGCTGCGGGCAGAATTTGCAGGATAAGGATGAGATTAAACTTCCTCCACTCATCCCAAAGTTGCTCCTTGAGTGCCAATCCTCCTCACTCGCGTACCATCGAGGAGACAAAATAACAGGCTATATATCCTCAATGAAACTAGCTTTAACCCTCCGATGTCGTGCCTGGTTCATTTCATGTGGAGGCCCAATGGGCCCCCTGATTAACCCGGATTGTAGTTTATTGGGTTGAGTCACGCTGGGCTAAACCTTTGTCCGCACTGGGTCAGGTCGGGTCCACCCATTTTCAATCCTGGTTAATTAATCTCAAGACCCACTCCCGATCAATTCATACGCATTGCCGAATTTAACATGAAGGGAACTTGGTACTACGATGGGAAAATCCAATGTGCTATCATACTCTTAGGGCTAGTCCCAACAATTAATGCATTGATAAAGCGTTAATAGGGTGATGCAGCCGAAAAAAAAGAGGAAAAAAAAACGAGCAGAGAAAACAAGACCACGAACAATCCATCCCCCGGGAGTGAAGAAGACACCATTTCCTGCACAGCAGCCCCCTCCATGAGCCTAAACCTGTGGCCTCATTTAGCCTGGAAAAGGAAAGAAAGAGAGGGGGAAAGAAATATAGGAAAAATGAAGGGGAGCTCCAATGCCTTGTTCCAGTATAGTACGAGATAAGACCCAACTATCTAAGAAATAAATTGGTAAGCCAGCTTCACAATTCCTCCTCTTCCAAACACTTTTCATCCCCTCTTGCCGCCTCTAGAGCAGTACTCTTCAAGCTACTCCTATCGGGGTTTTCTGACCGATTCGTCCATTGATGGGAAGTATGGGTGTGGCCCCAAACCCCACATGGTACAATCCAGGATGTATGGAGTTTTTGTTCTAAAAGGAGATAGGGATAATAAGGAGACGGGGTGAAATAAGAGTGAATTAATGCGGTAAGTTAAAATGGGATTTTCAATGGGTACTGAATACTTGTGTAATAGGGCATAGGGGGGGGGGGGGTTGGTGTCTGAGGTGTTGAACTAGATGTAGGAGGATGAGGCTATGGGATAGAGGGATTAGAGAGGCCGGGTTGGTAGAGAGGGTT